TGAATGTCTAAGGGACACAACTAAGCCAATAAAATACTTTACCTAAACAAGTAAATAAAATACTCTTATATAAGTATTATACAAATTTACTTATATAAGTATTAAACAAATTTACTTATATAAGTATTTTAATATTTACTCTTTCAAATAAATAAAAATTACTTGTACAAGTAGTACCCCTGACTATATATTCTCAAGTTTTGGAAGGTTAAAACATTCCAAAACAATGCTTTTTTCTGGAATGCAAATTATTGTTTAATTAAAGTACAACCATTTATCTCAAAAACTACTGTAAATAAAAAAAATTGCACACATTTATCATTGCGATATTTGAAGAATGGACATATATTTGAGATAAAATTATTGCAAATTCAGGTAAAAATGCATACAGATATATGCAATAATAAAAAAATTCGTAAGGGTTCCGCGGAACCCAGTGTCTCGCCTACTTTTGCTTTTAATGGCAGGCTCAACAAAAATGAGGAAAAAAATCAATAAAAATATTCCTTTAGATACTATCTTTAGATTGTAAGAAGCTTCTGTCAAAGTTTGGTATAAATCCAGGATAGTTTATGAATCTAATAAATGTTTTAAAAACTTTAACTGCAGACTGTATTTTATGTTAACAGGAAGAAAAACTAAGTCCATTTATAAGTAAAATACGGAAAAAAAGAAATTTTTTTTTTACAAATTTACTTCTGGATACTATCTTATGATCATAAACAAGCTTCTGTCCAAGTTAGGTACAAATCCAGGATAGTTTAAGAAAGTTATTAAAATTTCAAAAACTTTAACCTCAGAGTGAATGTATTGTTTTCTGGCAGAAAAACTAAGTCCATTTATAAGTAAAATATGGAAAAAATGAAATTTTTTTTTTAACAAATTTACTTCTGGATATTATCTTATGATCATAAACAAGCTTCTGTCCAAGTTTGGTACAAATCCAGGATAGTTTAAGAAAGTTATTAAAATTTAAAAAACTTTAACCACAGAGTGGATGTAATGTTTCCTGGCAGAAAAACTAAGTCCATTTACAAGTAAAATACGGAAAAACAGGAATTTTATTTTTACAAAATTTACTTCTGGATACTATCTTATGATCATAAACAAGCTTCTGTCCAAGTTTGGTACAAATCCAGGATAGTTTAAGAAAGTTATTAAAATTTCAAAAACTTTAACCACAGAGTGAATATTTGTGGACGCCGCCGACGACAACGACGACGCCGACGGAATGTAGGATCGCTATGTCTCGCTTTTTCGACTAAAGTCGAAGGCTCGACAAAAATCTCAATAATTTAAAAATTTATTGTGCCTGCTGTGCACAGATATTAAGTGTAACTCAGATTTTGCTCCCTGCAGGCTTGCAATATAAATAAGCAGTATTTTGAAGATAACAGGCAAATGAGATTTTTTTCATCGTCCATTAAATTATGCTTTTATGAATAGAAAAGACAATTATTAACATGACTAATTTCAGAAACTTTAACACTCTTTTGTTAGACTGAAAGTCTACTGTTCTGACAAGAGCCATAGACTGCTCTTACTTCTTAATTATCTGGTTTATATCATATCTTATTAATTTGTTTATAAATCCTGTAGAATCCATGACAAAACGCCCCACTGGCAAATCGCCCCACACCTAATCTCCCCACTTTTTCACCAACTTGCCCCACTTTCTAATAAATCGCCCCACTCTTGTTTACCAACTCGCCCCACTCTTGTTTACCAATTCGCCCCACTTATGAAAAAGGGTAAACTCCCATTAAAAATTGGTTGGATAATGCCCAATTATGAAAAAGGGTTAAAATCCTGCTGAAATAAGGTCTGCCAACACACCCCACTCATGACAAATAGATAAACCACGATGAATTTAGTAAGGCCAACTCGCCTTACTTATGAAAAAAGATGCAATCCTGTTGTACAGTCAGGGGACTTATTGAAATAAGTGATTTTTAAATCACTTATTTAAGTAGCAAATTCGAAGTTTTGTCACAAATTGTGATTTTGTAGTTTTACCAAAATTTTAAACACATAGGTTTAGATAATATCTTTTCATTAGTAAAATTGAAAAACATGAACTTTTTGCTTCTTTTAAGCAGCAAGGTTTATGCCTTTGATGCAATCATTTACAGTACACACAGAGAGGATGTAATCTCATACTCCCAACACTGATTCTGGTGTAACACAGTGTCATACTGTGAAACACAGATTTCTCTCCCAAAAAACACCAAGTAATTACTCCCATCTGGGAGGGTTTTATGACCTGTTGATTGCAGGTAAGAGTAATAAAAATCAACAAAGCACGACTGCATGGTCTGACAGTGACATAATTACAGGTCAACTATTCTCTCACTTCTTCCTATTTCAATCATTTCCTATTTAGTTTTATTTCTGAAAGCACTAAAAAAAGGTTAACGAAACGATTTTTAAAATTTTTATACAAATATGTATTTTTAGATTGGAAAATTATTTACATTCTTTCATAATCTCATAATCAAGAATGGCAACTTGATATTGACAATAAGTTGTATTTATAGTCAATTTAAACATATAGATATTAGTATATACATGGTTTAAAAAATAATAGTAATGATACAAAAAAAAATAATGATTAAAATAAAATAATGTAGATAAATTACATATATATATATTATATTTATATAATCTTCCTTTATTTCTTATCATTTAAATTTAGAAAAAACGATTGAATAAATTCAATTAAAATATATGTCTTTATTTTCTATTAATAATACTCCACTTACAGGTGATGTTTTGTTTGTTTTTGTATGTTTCTTAGGTATGAAAAACCAACACTGTCAGAACAAATGCTGAATATAATTTTAATAAATAAAGTTCAGTCTGAGTTGTACAGGATTCTTTAATAAAATCAGATTATAATATGTCTCTGATTAAATTTAACAAATCTCGCACTTTTCATCATTTTTGTGACTGTCATTTAGTGACAGGAAACACAAGAAATGTTTATTGTAGTCATATACTACTGGCACACTTCAAAGGTAATCATAGCAATAAAAATCATGTTGTTGGGAGAAACCACACCAAGGTAATCAACAATTCAGGAGTTTTAGGGAGGAATTACTCCAAGTTTCTCCCAATTTCCTCCCAAGATTTGGAGAGAGTTGCTGGAGTTTCTTGGTGTGACACCAAGTTTTTACACAGTGTAGGGAGTATGAGATTACATCCTCTCTGTGTGTACTGTAGCAGCAAATTCTATTTTAATTGAAAAAATGCTATAAAAATGGCTTTTCATAATGAACTGATACTTTCTTAACAGATTTTTCCCAGCAGTGGGAGTATTTTTCCTGTAAAATTCAAGGTTTCATCTTATAGATTATGTAATAAAATTCTACTGTTCGCGATCAAAATTTCACTGTTCGGGGGGTGTTGAAATTAGTGGGGGTTATTAAAATAATGATACTTAAAGAAGTGATTTTTTGGAAGGAAATTGAGGTATAATACTTAAACAAGTGATTTTTATGTCATTATCCTAGATTTAGTACAAGGTCATCACCTGACATGACCCGGTCATCCTATCAACACAGATGTTGGTTCTGATAATTTTAGCAACATAATTAGTCCCTGGATCATTAGTATTTTATATTTAATGTTACAATAAAATTAAATCACTTAGTCTAGTGATTAATTTGTACTACTTAAATAGGTGATTATTAAAGAAAGACAACTCTTACTTCAAACCTTTATGGACATAATGTTACTTGAATCAGTGATTTAGAAAATCACTCATTTAAGTAAGTCCCCTGACTGTTGTATATCTATGTTCCTGCCCCACTTATAAATAAAATGAATACCTATAAAAACCTTAGATAAAAATGTTTTTGTAGTTCTTTTCTTTTTGTTGAAATAAAGCAGAAAGAAGTGAGTATCAGTATTTCTGTGACGTGAAATTCAACTAGCCCCACTTGTGGAAAATAGAAAAATCCAGATGAATTGTATTTTAAGAAAGTGAAACATCATTTTATTTCAAAAAAAATAATTTAATAAATTTTTGTTTTTTTGTATTGTGTAGATTAGTTTTCATTTAAGTGGGGCGAGTTGGCAGACCTGAAAATTATATATTCATATAGATTTTACGTTTTTTCATTAAGTGGGGCGAGTTGGCAGGAGATAAATTAATGAGATTTAACCCTTTGTGAGGGAGATTTTTTAAAAAGTGGGGCAAGTTGGTAAACCAGTTTGGGGCGTTTTTTTTTTAAAGTGGGGCGAGTTGGTGAAAAAGTGGGGCGATTTGCCAGTGGGACGATTTGTCCTGCTTCCATCCTGTATATATACTTACATGTATATATAAATATTCATCATAGATTGAAGAATGTACATGTAAGTCAAATATACAAAAAACCAAAAACATTGTAACGTGTTAGATGGTATTTTAATGTCGTTTGTTGGTGTACAACAGTGTAAGTTGATAAATAGCCCTATCAAAATTTTATAATGAGGCCATACACAACAAGGTTAATACCAGGTCAGGCTTAAAATTTTCTTCCTAAAATTTATAAGGTCAACTTAAAAATTACCTGTCGCAATCATCAACCATGACAAGACTTTTAGAGACTTTTTATTCACCTTAAGACAGCCGGAAATAAAATGATGACTTGGCATGATTTTGCAGAAACAAAACTTTCTGGCAAATGTTTCAGGATTTTTACTACATTTTGTTCATGACCTCATTTTGAATCTAGTTGACCTACTGACGTTTGGAAAACAATCTGTTTAGATTTATGTCCTCACGTGTTTATGTTGGTGCGATACAATAGTATGGGGTTAAGGTTTTATTCTTCTTTTATATCGGACACACCAACATGAGTTGATCAAATCATTTGTACATAATTCATAATAACAAAGACAGTGAATTTCCGTTTAATATCTCTCGAACTCATAAAAACACCTGTTTGTGTAATTTTAGAACTACTTAAAAGCGTGTTCGTTCAATATTCATTGTATTATTCACTCTCAACACTTACAATAAAATCATATCAAATTAATTTTTGAACATATGTCTTTGGGGTCTCATTCAAGTATTCTTTGTGATTTAACCCTCCTATTTTATGAACTCTAATCTATTCACAAACAATCGTTTTGATTGGCCGAATAATTTCTTTACGCCACAAAATCGGACCTTTAACAACTCGTCCCATATAATTGTCGTTACGTCTTTATTTCAAATCTTTGATAATTGTATTAAAAAATCCAGTCTGGCACCACCTATTAATTTAGAATATTATATAAATACTATCCAACAAAGAATCTTTGACCAGGTTTATCAAATTATGAACTGTTCCATTAATGTGAAATAACTAAATTTCTTTTGAAAGACTCAAAAAATTGGAAAAAGGCCCCCGTATATTGATATATGTAAATTTAAAACTAACAGATCAGTTTTCAGTAAATTTAAACTCAGTGCCCATTTCCTAGCAATTGAAAGGGGGCGTTATACCAACATTGAAAGAAATCAACGCATTTGCTTATCCTGTAATAGGCAAGAAATTGAGGATGAATACCATTTCTCAGTTCTCAGTATGTCCATGCTATATATCATTGAGGGATACCGATATACAAAATATTAATCTTAATCTTAATTTCAATTTTATTTAATTGCATTCAGCTATACATGTAACACTGAGGCATATGACAACACTTTTAAATAACAGTTTGCCTTCATTATAAAATTATCCCAATAAGTAAATTAATGATTGTCTTTTATTGAGAACATCTGTATAATTTATATTTTTTTAATATGTATCCTTTTTTTGTTCATGAACATCATTAATGCGTTAAATGTCGATACACACATATTTATAGTCTTTTTTTCGTGTGAATATCACTGTCACTCTAATTTAATTATTGTCAGTTTATTATCTCATTACTGTATGCCATAACCATTTAATGTAAATATGTGTGTGCAAATAAATATTGTCTATTGTCTATTGTAAAAAAATAAAATAAAAAAAAAAAATACATATTTTTTTCATTTCCATTCAATTTCAGTATTCTGTGTAGTCTAGCATCCTGGCCAAAACTCCTATTCACGTCAGCATGGTCAGTACACAGTGAGTCAGGATCCCAGGCTATATTTTGTGTTTAAAGAATTCTGAGACTACTATAACGGTGTTAAAGCTCTCGGGTTATATATAGTCTCAGAAGGAATTTCGAATCGAATAATTTATTTAAAAGAATAGAATGCCCTCCCCCCCTCCCCCCAAAAAAAACCCCAAAACAAACCCAAAACAAACAGACAACATAAGCATAATAAAAACTCAAAGTTTATTTGTATACTATGCCGACTCTAAATAAAGCTTATTTAAAACAATTACACACAAAAGAAAAAATGAATGGTCGGTACCTTATAAAGTCTTTTTAATATTTTTTCTTAGGTCAGAGACTTTCAACACTAGGTCCCTACTTAGGTACACATGTACAGAAGTAAGTACTGATCCTGATCCTTGGGTCAATATATTGACACGACTTGTTGCGTGATGCTAATCGTTTCATCTGGTACACTTTTTCTCTAAGTGGCATCTCACAGTGTCTGGGTATACTTTTTAGGCGCAAGATCGGGATTCAGGGCTTATTAGCTCTCGAAATCACCCTGTACTGTCTTAATATTCTGCAATAATATGACCAAGGCGGTTCCCAATCTTAAAGTTGAACACCAATTAATCAATCAAGCAATCTTGATAACATTAATTTTTCAGATATGTTATATCTAATAAAAATTTGCCAAAATCTGTTAAAAATTTCGGGTTTAAACAATCTTTGGTTGTTGAAATTAAAGATATGGTACTATGAATTTCAGTTTGAACGACTTTTTGAAAATGGCCCTAATGTGAATTAAATTTAAAGGAAATTGACCCTACAGTTATTCACGTGGAATGTATTTTGTATTAAAGGTTCATTAAAAAAATATCGAATTTTCAGTACACTCATGTTAATTTTTTTTTAATTTTTCATGGAAAATGCAGTTGTTAGTGTTTAAATGAAAGTAAGCAAGATGTATGAGTCGGAACATCAATAATAAACACAATTTATGTGTATTTTGAATTCGTCGTGGAAAAAGGAGAGCAGTAAATTGTTTCCAATCTCTTTTACCAACATGCGTTTGCATTACAGCTGCCGATACAGTTCTATTTGGACTTTCAGGATAGATAAAAATAGTGTTAGAAAAATTATCGAAATCGAACTACCTGATACGGTTTTGCTAGAAATAGAACGTGATCAGAATGGAAAACTTCTTTTTACATTTCCACTTACATGTTCAGTTAATACTAGACAGGGGCGTAGCTGGACTTAAATAAAGTGCAATCATAACTATTGCCGAGCGAAGCGAGGCGAAAATTTTTTTTGGACCATTTTATGCAGAAAATGATAACTTTTTTCGGGCATTTTCCCGGTATGCCATGTTTATGAAATTCACATCACATTCACGCCCAAACTCCTATTTTGTGAATACTTGTGGACTTTATAGTGATTCGGCAAGGGAGGAGGCTATGGACCGCTCAAAGTCTCCAGCTGGTCCAGGATAGCACCCTAGTCGGGGATTCAGGGCAGCACCGTAGACGGTGGTCCAGGGAAGCGAATCCCCATGAAGCTCCGGGCATATGAGTAATTACAGTGACTGCTTTGAACATGAAAAATACCCTATCTGTTTCTTACTATACCATATTTTCATGAAACGATAGTAAAAGTCTAGTGAGTTCCGTAATTTGCTGCTTATATTATTAACATGGTTATTTTCAAATATAAAAAAAAAATTATAAAACGGGAAGATCAGGAAGAGTCGACAACCGAAGCGTTAGTCAATGGACAATTGACAAACCTGGGAACAGATAAGACACAAAAGGAGAAACAAAAACATTCAACATTGAAAACCAAATACAGATGAAAAACACGGACCCAGAAAACAATGTGGCGACCTCCGGTGCTCCGGCCAAAAGGGTAAGCAGTTCCTGCTTCTTGCAAGACACACGTAGTGTGTCTCACGAAGGTCATTCTCAAATCAAAGGAGAGGTTTCTACGACAACGGTAGAAGGTCATTTGGGACACAGATACCCCAGGTGAATCAATAGTCTTTTGGACGAACGGTTAATGGGAATACGAAATCTAACGGCCACTTTTAAGTCTTGACTTATAAGTAAGGGATATAAATCTAAGATGTATTGAGCCTGTATTATTAAATGTTAATACTGCATGTAAGACTTAAAGTATAGTTAATATCGAAAGTCCATATATCTATTTTTTGCCTAGGCAAATGATCGCAGAACTCTCTCGGTGTTAATATCCATTTCTTTGTGAACATGTATGAGCGCCAACGAAGATAGTCTGTCCTGTACCATGGTTGAACGGAGATAAGTTTTCGGTCGCCTTAATCAGAGACATATATACATAGTGTATATATGTCTCTGCCTTAATGCACTAAATGACCGTTCAGTAGTTGATGTAGTTACTGGCATTGTAATTAGAATTGAGAAGATTGCGAATATTGAAGGATATATAGTTCCTTATTAGTCACTGCTACAGACGAAATCAAAGATTTGGGCTTTAAACACCGCCCGACACGATAATCTGTAAAGACTAAAGACTATCCGTAATTCAATTTCAGATTTTTTTTTTTGGTGAAAAAAGTGTGCAAGCAAATGATTTTTTGCGTAAAGGCAGCTACGCGCCTGCTAGAACTAGTGGTAGTATGGCGATCGATTCCACCCTCAATGGTTACAGTAACAAAACAGACAATATTTGACTAACACGTCTTTAAAATGTATATAATTACATAACATTTTACACATAATGCAATGCTTGGTTGTTTGAAATCATTTAAAGCTGAAAACGTCTAAATCTTTGCATTTTAGCATAATTTATACAAAATGCAATACTGTTATCGGAAACAGGATAGACAACAAGGGTAACAGGTTAGAACTGTATAATCATGGTGATATTTCGTTAACGTACGCTCCTGTTACGAAAAACAAAACGACAAAAGTATAAACCATCATGAGAGGGAAGTACTTGATGTTTACTAGAAAGAGAAAATAAATGAAAATTGTGAATTGCTATTTCAGATTAGCGTTGTTGCTGGTTTTCTGACCTCTGAACCATTTTTGTTCAGTACAACGTGGAAAATTAACAAATAATCTATCATTACACAGAATGAAAATATATAGAAGTTTTTACTCTTGAAAACCATCGTATTGACCATGAAAAACAACCTTAAAATTTTATCGAAATCTTTTCAAAATAACTCAAAATATCTTCTAGACATGGTAACAGGAGAGATAAAATATTGCACCACCTATAATTGTTTTTTCTTCAAATATTCGTGTATGACATTGTCAAGATTACATCTTTTTTATATGTTGTTCCATACGTATTGTCTGTTTTGAATTGCTAACGAAACGGGAAAAGGCGTTTTAAATCAGTAACTTTTACTCAATTTTGCTGTATAAAAATTCAACATTTTTTTTAAATGACCCATATAATATCAGAACACGTATTTATTCAAAAACTATTGTTCCGTTCACTAATACGAAGTCCTCAATTATATTGAATGTGAAAAGTAGTTCCGCAAATATCCTATTTAATGTATGAACATTTAATGTTATTAATGAATTTATTTTCGTTTGAATTTCAAGTGAAAATAAAATTTTAAGTGGTATCAATTCAATCAATAGTGTCCGGCACTTAACAAAAATCTAGTTCTATGGAGAACTCTTGAAGATCAAGTGCATCCGCATTTAAAAAAAAAAAAAAAAAAAAAACTTGATGGAAATGCCCTGAATTAGGACAGTTATTTGATATTGAATATCCAACCGGTCACTAACAAGCTGCTGATTCGATATTAAGATTTTTTAATGAAAAGTAATAAAAAAAAAATAAACAATCATGTTCAAAAACGTTTTGTTTTTGATATATACATATTTTGTAGGAAGGGCTCTTAATTAGAGCCAGTTTTTAATGTACTAGTCAACAAAAGTAACGATACACAAGTTTGAACTCCAATTTACCATAAATTATAATTAATAGGAAAACTGTTAAATTATCCAA